CCTGCCGGTGGCGCTGGCCCCTTCACTCCCTGGGCAGAGGCGAACGGGGAGGAGACTCAGAGGTGGGTCTGGCCAGGGACCAGGCAGGGGAGCCAGCCTCTGGGAGTCCAGGGCGAGTCAGAGCTGAGGAGACAGCAGAGCCCCCAGCTGGGGGCGGGACCTGAGCACAGGTAGGAAAGGTGGGGCTGGGAGCAGAACCAGCCCAGGGGGGAGTAACCCACTGCTTGCCTGGACCTCCCCTCACATAAACGTCTGACTGCCCCATTTTCCTCCAGTCCCAGAACTGGGCTTTGCCGGGGGCCCCAGAGCCATCAGGCCCCGCACTGGCGTCTGTGTGAACAGCTCTGCCGCAGCAACTGCCTCCCCTCCCTAGGGGGCCGGAAGTCCTTCCTCTCAGTGTCCCAAACTCGGCCTCCCCTGCCCTAGCCAACAGCTCTGGGGAGCTCGGCAGGGGGCGGGAGGAAGACCCTGGGAATGGCTTTTGCATTTTCCCAAAGTGGGTGTCTCTCTGAGGTCACAGGACACTTTCCTGCCTACGAGCCGTCCCGCTCATCTCAAATTAACCCCGTAAGCCCCTCCGACAAACGCAACCGTCTAGTAGTCACAAATTGCCAGCACCCCACTTCTCCCCAGAGCTGGAGTCTTTCCAGCCCAACCAGGAGTCCCCAACCACCCTACACTGCCGTGACACTATTGGTGGAGGTTAGCACTGCTAAGACCCAATGACCAGTCTCTACGGATGGACCTACCTCCAACAGCCACATGGCTGGCCAGCCAAACCACCCCCCAGAAGGGTTTGGGAAGGGCAAGCCACCGACGTCTTGCCTTTGTTTTAAAGGTACGCCCTGAAATGGAGAGATACGAGTGGGTGTTCGTCAAGAAACCAGAGCTGACCAAAGCAGTGCCGCGCGCCCCACGCCAGCGGTCCCCTTCTCCCGTCCCCCGGATCCGTGTCTCATCCCCTCCGGACGGCCACAAAGCCAGCTCGCACCATCTCACCGTGCCGGTACTGGAGAGTGCTAGAGGCCGCCTCTCCCCATTCCTGGCAATCCGACACTTCCTCCTGCCTTCGAAAACAGCCTCCATGTTCATGTCCGGGACTCGGGAAGGAATCATTATCGGTAATTATGCTACATTCGCGTGCCCAAGACAGACCACTGCCTCTGCCCCAGGGCACTCGGAGCCAGACTGTGTCATTTACCCGGAGCCCTCTGAGGGGCAGAAGGGAGCTGGACCACTTTGCTCCAGAGAGCACTGTGGCAAGATACAGGCCAAGCCATCCCTTAGGATGCTGCAGCAGTCTGATCTCTGCCCCATGGTTGGCTAGCACCACTGGCTGACATGGTAGGAAGTGCAATAGGTCCCTGCTTCTGTGCATGATTCGCACCCTCCTGGCTGTTATCATAGAATCATAGGACGCTAGAACTGGAAGGGACCTCGAGAGGTCATCAAGTCCAGTCCCCTGCCCTCACGGCAGGACCAAGCACCAACTAGACCAGTGGTTCTTAACCTGGGGTGCACACACCTCGTAGGGGTGCGAGATGCCCTTTCTGGGGGTGAGAGACTTGCCAGATTTTTATGATATATCTTAGGTTTAAAGAACTGACCTACTTCAACGATTTTTAATAAGGGGTGCGAGAACATATTTTGAGAACCAAAAGGGTGCAGGCTGCAGTAAGGTTAAGACCCACTGACCTAGACCATCCCTGACAGGTGTCCATCCAACCTGCTCTTAAATATCTCCAGGGATGGAGATTCCACAACCTCCCCAGGCAATTTATTCCAGTGTTTAACCACCCTGACAGGCAGGAAATTTTGCCTAATGTTTAACCTCAACCTCACCTTGCTGCAGTTTAAGCCCATTGCTGCTTGTCCTGTCCTCAAAGGTCTCTGGAACCTGGGTGTGAGCGCAGGGTCCGGAACACCCGGCACAAGTACCAGGGCAGCTTCGCTCTTTGTATTTCGTCCTGTAAAGCAGCAGGAAGGATGGAAAGTAGAAATTCCATCAGTGACTGTAACAATTCCCGACTGCACCGCCCAGCCCGAGCTCCCACACGCACTTACAGCACTGAGCTTACCCCAGGACGCTCGTGCCCAAGTGCAACTCCCCTGGACTTCCGCAGGTTTATACCAGCCATGCCAGGGCTTACGGGCTCCAGAAAACAGGCTTCTATCACTTCAGCCACAAGAGACGCTCCAGGAGCTGTTTGCAGCAGCAAGACATGTTTTCCCTGAATGCCAGCCTCCAGGCGACAGTGCTACCCAGACACTCGCCAGTCCCTTGCAGCTCGGCACGCTGCATGCAGCATGCCCCCCAATGTGAGAGGCATCCCACCGTATCTCTATTTCATCCCCCTTGTGATCAGATTTCCCCTTGTGAAACAGAGGCCAAGTTTAGTCTGTGGAATCAGGATTCTGTTTTCCTGAGTCTCCAACCCGGTTTAATAATTTAGGGTATGTTTACACTACCCCCCTAGTTTGAACTAGGGTGGTAATGTAGTCCACGAGGAGTAACGGTAGTTCGGAATAGGAAGCCTAGTCCGAACTACCTAGTCCGTGCTGCGTGTAGCCGCGTGCACGGAGTCCGAACTAGCGGACATTTAAAAATGGCGGTGCCCGGCAACATGCAAATGAAGCCTGGGAAATTCAAATCCCAGGCTTCATTTGCAACTCCGGTTGCCTACATTACCGCCCTAGTTCGAACTAGGGTGGTAGTGTAGACATATTAGACTGGACAACTCAGGCAATCCTAGTCATGCCTGTGCCGTCAGCTGCCCCATGCGGCAGCGTTCACAGAAGCGCCTGTATATGAGAGAGACACTAGTTTACTTAGGACAAAGCCCCTAATATCAGGGTGTCTGGTCACCCCAACCATGGAAGGCCAAGGGGGCTCCCCCATCTCCAGCAGCACAGAATGGTCAAGCAGACGTAAAGCTGTAGCACTGAGTCATAAGTAGAGCTCTGCGTGGATACACATTTATGCCTGGGGATGTGGATACCCACAGACAGAAGCAGGCGTCCACTGAACTGCAGGTCTCTCCAGGGAACCCCAGTGGCAAAAGGAGCAGGACATGGGCTGCTACTTCCCGGAGCCAGTGCCCTGTGCCACATGCCCGTGGACAGGAGACACAGACGGCTGCTTCGAAGGGATGCAGTCAGGGCTGGCAGGGTGCAGGACAGCTGCTGGCACTGGGACTGGCTCCTGGGAGCAGCCGCCCCACAATCTGCTCCTTTTGCCACTGTGGTTCCTGGGAGAGCCCTGGGGGTCCATGGATACCGATTTCTCTCTGCGCTATCTGCATCCACTGGTATAGATTTGTAGCCACACAGGGCACTAGACATGAGCGGCAGAGTGATGTGGGGGGATGGGATGTGGGATCACGTCCCCCCAACAATTCTGCTTTCTATTTAACACAGAGTTTTTTAAAATGTGGGGCGTGCCCTGCCCTTTGAAAAGCATTTCCTGCCTGCTGGTAGGAGCGACGGATCAGAAGCTGGCGGGAGCTGCCCCGGCCCCTGGCATTCCACTCTGTGGGAGCTGAGGCTCTGGCTGGCTGCTCGGTAGCCCTCCCTGCCCTGCTCCCCAAGTCTGGCCACCTCTGCGCAGTGGGGCACTTCCCTGCACAGCTCTGAGCTTTGCCCCGATGTGCTTTTGCCTCTCCCTGAAGGAGCCTGGCACTGGCTGGTGCGGCTCCTTGGAGTGGGCCCCTGCCCAGAGGGCCCAGCTGCCAAGAGATGTTTGCTGAGGCTCACTCACTGCTGCCCTGGTGCTCCTGGTTCTGGTTCTGCTTCTGCTCCCAGCCACGTGCCCCCATCCCAGAACCTTTAAACAGTGCCCCTCACACCATCAAAAGTGACGCGTGGTCTCCCGTAAGCAGGACGGTTTGGGTTCGTATCCCTCCATTTACCCATCAACCTGGGGACAGCAGGTCCCCATCAGGCTCTGACCTTGTTTTGCAGGTGGTGGGGGAGGCCAGGCTCTGTACATTGATGCTGACCTCTGCTATGGAAGAACAGAGCACTGCGAGACATTTGACAACCCTCCTCTCTGTCAAGAGAACTTCCAGGTGCAGCTCCTGGAAGCCTGGGGCTTTCAAAACGTCTAGCTCCTGTGACATCGCCTCTCCCTGCGCAGGCTCCACCACACAGGACACCACAGCTAGAAACGAGCCAGACGCCACAAACGACACACTGATGCCTGATTCTAATGGAGGGAGTTTGCACATGGATGTCTGAACCTCACTACCGCTGGCCGTTCTCCATGTCTTCCTTCTCCATCATAATGGACTGTGCTGGCATGGATAGGAAAACCATGCACCACAGGGCAGAGTTCTAGTATGGGCACTGCCATACTATACGATTGTATTCATAACAAAGTCTAGAACCTTGGCACACAAACCAAACCAAATCCCAAACTTTCTAAGATTTGAAAAGATGAGCTAATTTGGGGGAAGCAGTAGGCGGAATTTTTCAGGTTTCTTGTCTCTCTGCATTCTTGGCTTCACTGTGAAGTGACCTCATGGTAGCCAGCACTGGGCTATGAATCTTACTGGGAAGATTAACCTGTAACTTACAGGATTTCCATCCTGGATGCAAGCCCAGAATAATAACCAGGAGGGGAACCTCTGTCATCTTTGGAGGTCAACAGTCACTATTAAACACGATCTGTGTTAATCATATACCACAATACAAGCAGCTATCATGGAACGTTCCAGATAGTTACGTCAGAACTGGGCCCCTGAATTTTCTGCCCCATCTCTTCAAATGGAGCCCAGCAGGATAAGGCGTAAGGGTCCTCAAATGCCCACTAGACTTTGCTCCAGCCTTAATAAGTAGAACTTTGTAGTTGTGCATTGCAGGCAGGAATGGAGAGAGAATGCAGGGAAACAGCAGATCACAGTGCAGGCCTGTATGCGGGGGAGGGGGAGGCGAAGGGTGCGAAAGCCAAGTAAGCACGCTCCAGGGGTACGTCTAAACTACATGGCTCCATCGACGGAGCCATGTAGATTTGTTTGTTTGGCAAAGGGAAATGAAAATGAAGCCGCGATTTCAATAATTGCGGCTTCATTTAAATTTAAACGGCTGCCGCGCTGAACCGACAAACAGCTGATCAGCTGTTTGTCGGCTCAGCGCACTAGTCTGGACGCTCCCGCGCCGACCTGAAAGCCCTTTATCGACCTCCCCGTTATGCCTTGTAGGATGAGGTTTACCGGGGAGGTCGATAAAGGGCTTTCGTGTCGGCAGGGGAGCATCCAGACTAGTGCGCTGAGCCAACAAACAGCTGATCAACTGTTTGTCGGCTCAGTGTGGCAGCCATGTAAATTTAAATGAAGCCGCGATTATTTAAATCGTGGCTTCATTTCCCTTTGCTGAGAAACAAATCTACATGGCTCCGTCGACGGAGCCATGTAGAAGCGGCGATTATTTAAATCGCAGCTTCATTTCCCTTTGCCGATCAGCCTAATCTACATGGCTCCCAGATGGCCAGAGGAAGGCAGGAGCCTCCCTCCCCCATGCTCTGACCAGCCGGGGGAATGCTGGGGCTGATTTCCCTGCTTTCTTGGGGCACCATGGGAGGGTGCATTCACACCCTTGAGGTCCACATTCCCTCCCCCCAGAAATTCCTGCATACGGGCCTGCAGTGGGTCTTTAGTATGAAAAGGGTGGACGACTCTGGGGAATCCCAGGATGTTCCCGAGAGGGAATATTTTTTGCCTACCTTTCCTACAGGATTCAGCTCTCTCTGCATTTTCCATAAGATCCTCTCCCTTGGGAAGGGGAGGCTTTCAGGGTCAGAGCTGCGGCACGTGAATGGACCAGTCGAAGGCGGCACCCTGGCACTGCACCTATTTTTGTGGATAAAGGGAGGGCGTCAGTCCCCAGGGCTTTCAATTGCAGCACTAAATTCATCTAAAAATATGCAAATCTGCAGTGGATTCATTTACTGACATCAAAGATCGCCCGGCATAATATCTTATGTGTAAGCCCTCCTCGTCACGGGGTTTGTAGTTGTGTGAAAATGCGAATTCAGATAGAAGGGTTAGGATGGTAGCTACAAGAATTGAAATAGTTAACAAATCTAAGTCTTAGCTAGCATCTCATAGTTATCAACATCAGGAAAAGAATAGTAAACCCATCATTAGTAAGAATCAAATGTAACCATATACATGCTGATATAGAGAGGATAAATACACGTAAAGGGTTTTGCAACATACATGTAAATCATGTAGTTTGCAGAAGGAAAATGTATTCCTTTGCCCAATACAGTTTTCCATTTACAGTCTGATTTTTCTTGCGTTCATTTTTTCCAGCTAATCAGAGCAGAAGAGATCAATATCTCCAAAGGAGGCAATCCCAGAAAGGCTAGGAGACAAGAAGAGGGGATAATAGCAAACTCACATACAGTCAGCTATGCAGCCATGTGAATAATTAGCAATTATCTCTATTCTCGAACAGCATCTCGTAAGAGTAAAGATACGATGGGGCCTGAATTTCCCCTTCCTCTCAGCAATTTTATGCTAGCATGACTCTGCTGAACGTGACCGATTTAAAATGGGCAGGAGAGTGGACTTAGGGCCTTGGTGTTTCAGATGAAATGACGTGTAGAGACGGTGCTCAGACAATATCGCTCTGACCCACGTTCTGAGCAGGTCCTTTTGGGGGGGTGTCGCGGGGTGTTACTCTTGTCCCTCTCCCGGGGGAGTGGCCATGTCCCTGGGCTTCTTGGGACCACGACCAACCCCGCGTGTCCTGCAACGCAACTGTGGTTATACACCCGCACCCCTCCCACCAGGGCAGTGCAGCCTGACAGCCGGAGTCTCTAGGCAATGCCCCTCTCACCAGAGCAGTGCAGCCTGACAGCCGGAGTCTCTAGGCAATGCCCCTCTCACCAGGGCAGTGCAGCCTGACTGCCGGAGTCTCTAGGCAATGCCCCTCTCACCAGGGCAGTGCAGCCTGACTGCCGGAGTCTCTAGGCAATGCCCCTCTCACCAGGGCAGTGCAGCCTGACTGCCGGAGTCTCTAGGCAATGCCCCTCTCACCAGGGCAGTGCAGCCTGACTGCCGGAGTCTCTAGGCAATGCCCCTCTCACCAGGGCAGTGCAGCCTGACTGCCGGAGTCTCTAGGCAATGCCCCTCTCACCAGGGCAGTGCAGCCTGACTGCCGGAGTCTCTAGGCAATGCCCCTCTCACCAGGGCAGTGCAGCCTGACTGCCGGAGTCTCTAGGCAATGCCCCTCTCACCAGGGCAGTGCAGCCTGACTGCCGGAGTCTCTAGGCAATGCCCCTCTCACCAGGGCAGTGCAGCCTGACTGCCGGAGTCTCTAGGCAATGCCCCTCTCACCAGGGCAGTGCAGCCTGACTGCCGGAGTCTCTAGGCAATGCCCCTCTCACCAGGGCAGTGCAGCCTGACTGCCGGAGTCTCTAGGCAATGCCCCTCTCACCAGGGCAGTGCAGCCTGACTGCCGGAGTCTCTAGGCAATGCCCCTCTCACCAGGGCAGTGCAGCCTGACTGCCGGAGTCTCTAGGCAATGCCCCTCTCACCAGGGCAGTGCAGCCTGACTGCCGGAGTCTCTAGGCAATGCCCCTCTCACCAGGGCAGTGCAGCCTGACTGCCGGAGTCTCTAGGCAATGCCCCTCTCACCAGGGCAGTGCAGCCTGACTGCCGGAGTCTCTAGGCAATGCCCCTCTCACCAGGGCAGTGCAGCCTGACTGCCGGAGTCTCTAGGCAATGCCCCTCTCACCAGAGCAGTGCAGCCTGACAGCCGGAGTCTCTAGGCAATGCCCCTCTCACCAGAGCAGTGCAGCCTGACAGCCGGAGTCTCTAGGCAATGCCCCTCTCACCAGGGCAGTGTGGCCTAGGAGCCAGAGTCAGTAATAAACAGGTGCTGGCCCCCAGCTCAGGGACTGAGGAGATAGCAGGGGTAGCTGGGCCCTCCCTACTCCACCAGGTCCCAGCGCAGGTCACTGCTCTCTCAGCAGGGAATCCCACCTTAACCCACTGAGAGTCAAAGGCCACAATATCCCACCCTACTACTTCCCACCAGTCTCCACTGGCCTCCTTCCAGGGTCCTTCCTCTACAGCCCCCGCAGCAGCACTGGAGTCTTGCTGGCTGGTCTGCAGGGCCAGTCCCTCTGGCAGTTCGCCTGCAGGAGCTCAGGCAGCACCTCCTTTTTCCTCCGCAGCCAGCCCAGACTGAGCCTCTCCCAGCGTGAGCACGCCTGGCAAGGCCACGGGGGCAGGGCTTCTTCAGCCAGGTGAGCCTGGTTAAGCCCAGTTTTCCCAGTGTGGGGCTGGTGAACATGCACACGCACACGCACCGTCGCAGGATGCCATCACACATTCGTTGTGCCTCACCTTTTTCCTACATGTTTCCGATTGTGTTGTATCATGAGGTCTGCCAATTACAAAAGGGACGCACAAAAGTCCATGATGTTACTTCATGCCTAAGAATCTCTTTTATTCATTTGTGTACTCCTAAGATTTCCCAGTGTTTCCCTCTTTCTAAGGCCCCTAACGGACCAGCTAATCTTTGCAGCTGAAGGGGGCTAGGCAGGTTTCCAATCAGGCTACCTCCTTTCATAGAATCATAGAACTGGAAGGGATCTCGAGAGGTCATGGAGTCCAGTCCCCTGCCCTCATGGCAGGACCAAATACTGTCTAGACCATCCCTGAGAGACATTTATCTAACCTGCTCTTAAATATCTCCAGAGATGGGGATTCCACAACCTCCCTGGACAATTTATTCCAGTGTTTGACCACCCTGACAGTTAGGAACTTTTTCCTAATGTCCAACCTAAACCTCCCTTGCTGCAGTTGAAGCCTATTGCTTCTTGTCCTATCCTCAGAGGACAAGGAGAACAATTTTTCTCCCTCCCCCTTGTGACACCCTTTTAGATACCTGAAAATGGCTCTCATGTCCCCCCTCAATCTTCTCTTTTCCAAACTAAACAAGCCCAATTCTTTCAGCCTTCCTTCATAGGTCATGTTCTCTAGACCTTTCATCATTCTTGTTGCTCTTCTCTGGACCTTCTCCGTGCCCAGGGGCCGAGTTTGTTCTATAGAGATCCTGACCCATCCCAAGCTCAACATTCTTCCTGCTTAGCTGTCCGTCTTTCCTATGACTTTGTGTATTGTCTGGATCAAGATTCAGATTATTTGCTTGTAAAGGGGAACTAGGTTTCAACCAAAGTACCTAAAACGAGGCCACCGACGGCAGTTCTGGGCAGAACAATCAATGAGCCTCCCTCCCTCAGCTGGGGCCACAAGGCTCCCTGCCCAGACAAGCCCCAAGTGCCCCCCACCTGTCTTTCAGAGGAGCCCTGGGCCAGCCCTGCCGCACCATATCTCCCCTCTCTTCCCAGGACCCAATTTGCCAGCTCTGGGGAAATGTCACAGCATCTCTTGACTCAAAGGTGCGTTTGATATGCCCATGTGCCCCAGGCAGATTCTGGGGCCAAATAGCTCCACCCCAGAACCTGCACGAGGCATCTCTAATGTGTCTTTGAAAGATGCTTTCCCCAGAGCAGGCAGAGCTGTGGGCCCCCAGCAGTGTTCCCTCTAAGCTGTGCGCTTATGTGGCCACTCAGGGGAGCTTCAGATGCCACCCAGCTGATGAGTAGAGAGCACACATGGCTACGTTTTTTGCTTCTCCTGGTGGTGCACATTCACACATGCCTTGGTGCACATAAAAATTATGCTGCACATGGATGGGAAAAATTAGAGGGAACACTGTCCCGAGACTCTTTTCAATCACCTGGGCCCTTGAGCAACTGTCCCCCCAGCGGGCCTGCCTAAAACACTTGAGACTTGGGGCTGCATTATCTGTCTTTGATGCCACCGCACAACTTACCAACCTTTGTCATGCTGCATGTGCTGCCTACCATGCTACCTGATGATTTCAGCTGTCAATCGCAATAAATGATCAGGACGATTATTCCACGCAATTACTGTGATCTGCACGATGGTCTTTGCCAACTGCAAAATGTATTTGTTATTCTGCTTTCTTTGCACTTTTATCCTCT